GCGCGCGCGCACACACACACACACACACACACACACACACACGTATTTATATACATACACACACACACACACAATACAGATTTTCCTGGAGGAATCAACCATAAATTTAGTTACTAAAAAAGACTTTCTTCCCATTTTGTAATATATCAGGACGCATATCCTAGTTTTCTAATAAGTGCCTCAGAACCATTTTACTGCTAATAAAATGACACTATTATTTTATTTGGTTTTCTCAGATGGATGGAAAAAGCATGGTGACACTGGTGGGCTGTCAAGTTTCAGACTTAATTAAAACAACGTCTTCAAACTAAGCAATCCATGTTTGTGTGCTTATCAGATTGTTAATAGACCACATTTTATATACAAAGTGAAGTGTTTTTTAAAGGCCCCAGGCAACAACTCCGAGGGGCCCAGTGTACAGAAAAAAGTTCCACTAATGACTGATTGGGCATCCAGGTCACAACCCTTTTGTTTATGGCAAACTCTCCAGGAATAATATGTGTTGGGAGCCACTGCTCACGCTGCCGCAATTAAATAAAGAAAGTAACCTAAACGAACCTGTTAGCACTGATGTGGATAAAGGAAATCAGTTTCCACCACCTAATTATGCATCTTGTGATATAAAGTATTGTTTAATGTTTAACCGATTATAATGTTCTTTTTTGTATAATTTCCAAACAGTGACATCTTGAACACAGTTAGGGTCAGATATAAATGCTTGTGTTGTTTATGGTAGATTTAACTATAGAGTAGCTATGGGAATAGCTGTATATGTATTTAATTGTAACAATTTAACCTTCAAATATTGGTGTCTGCTGTAGCTGACCCAGTAAAACTACATATAATTACACAAGTTGACCCACATGACCCTTGATAGTGGTCTCTCTTTATCAGATAGTCAATTTCTAATGATGGTCAAGCAGAAATTTTAGTGAATTGTCACAGATTAAATTGTGTATTGAAAGCAGCCCTTTAATGTTTTGTGAAGTTGGCGTTTTAAATGAGTAGCAGTTGGACTGATTTACATTTGTAAAGACTGGAATACTAGACAAACAGTGAACCCATTTATTTTCCAACTGGGTAGCTTTGGAAATTTATCCTTATGCTAGCTAAATAGATAGAGGAAAAATAGCGTAATAAAAAAGTGGATTGAAAAGAATTAGCTTTGCTCTTAAAGGAAAATTGGTTTGTTTATTTGTGATTTTTTTCTTTGGGATTACTGCCTGCTGCTGATGATGATTGAAAATACAGATTATGGAATGGTCCTCAAATCTTCAAGTTACTTATGGTCAAAACTATTTTATACGATTTACAGTTCCTCCTGCAACTCTGCTATATTTAATTCAAGTGCCAGCAGAATGTTTTGAGTAGATCAGTTGAAAAGGAGAGTTGTTGAAATGAATGACTGTAGTCTCTTGTCAAGTTACTCCATTTCCCAAAGCATTCCCGCTCCCCCCACACCCTTCTAAAACTTAATTACACTCCGCAGTGAACTTTTTGCTTTAGAGCAAGATATAATATGAGGAGCTGCAGTCACAGAGGGGATAATGTCTGATATTGGCATACAAGTGAGTTTCTAAAGAACATAATGTTTTAATGGAGGGGAGGAGAATTAATCTACATTTGCCAAGAGATAAGTATTTATGCTGTTGATAAAATAAATAAGGTTATGAACAAAATATCCTACTTAAGTCCCGGGCTGTCCAAACAGCTGCTGATGGACATAGGAGCCAGAACCTCAGTACACAAGTGCCTACCACTTGAAGAGTGCAAGCAGCAAGCAGTCATTCTCCGTGGGTCAGCCACTAGAAGGAAATATGGTCACATTTGCTTGGCTAGCAGAATGCACTAACACAAAACCATCCAGGTCTATTTCTTTGTGGTCCAATGTAATACGGAGGTTACAATAATAATTCAGTTAAAATATTTAATAGAGAGAAAACCCATTGCTAAGCACAGCTTACTTAAATTGCACCGTTTGCACATTTCTTTTCCTTGTAGCTTTTGCTGTTTCCTTCCAAGCTGACAAAATCCCCTTGCTATTCTATTTTGTCTTTCAGCCCCAAAGGCACGGGAAGCATAACTTGCAATGAGTCCACAGTTGTGTTCTAGGAGGAAGTTAGCACACGCTTCCTGAACGCTCTAGACCAGAGATGGCTAACCTGCTGCATGCGTGCCACAAGTAGCATGGCCAGTCTCTGTGGGTGGCATGAGGCAGAGTGGGGCGGGGACAGGCAGCACAGTGGCAGATAGGGCAGGGTGCATAAAGTAGGAGCAGATCAGGAGGGTAAAGGAGTTCACGGTGGCATTTGGGGAATGTGTAGGGCTAATTTGTGGCATGCCTGCCAAAAAGGTTGCCCTCCCCCCACTCTAAATACTGATGTGCTCCATTACATTTTCCTTTAGCCATATCAATGAGTTGGACCCAATGACACTCTGTGTCCCATGCGAAATCATGACTAGTTTACTATTTATCCATTTGGAGAAACTTTTGTTATTTGAGATACTAAATTCAATTCTGTGCTGAGTTGCATGTTATACAAATTTGGTTATGAACATGTTTGCAAGGGGGTGTGGAAGAGGAAGCTTTGCTTCTCAGAGTTAAATCAGTTAATTTGGTTTTAATGACAGAGGTAAATACTCTATGAAAGCTGCATTTACACTCAGTGATGCTTTGTTCCAATACTTTAGCAGAGCCAAAGAAAAAGAATCAGTTGATTATATGAAAAATTAAGCTCCTCCTACAATTCTAAACTTTTGACCCTAAAAAATAGATCTATAATCTTCTAGTTTAGGCCAGGAGTCAAGTGCCAAAATTCTTGTGAAATTTTCTAGACCAGTTTTGCAGACTAATTTATTGCTGAGGGGATAATTAGTTATTCTCTCCTACATCCCTGAAATGTGACCCAGAAACAGTAGAATCTGGGACACAATATCTGTCAAGCGTGGAAGTAGAAGGGTTTCCATATTAAAGGACAAGTAGGCTAGAAGTGTAAAATGAGGCAAGGCTGCTACCAGTTGGCTGCTGCAGTACAGTGTTTGCTTTTTTGAATCCTTGTGCAATTCATTTAATAAGACTGCAAAGTGGAACAGGAAAATTATACAGTGGGCAGCTTTAACATGCCAGATCAGACTTACTGGCCATAAATTGATGATAATATTTCGGACTTGCCTATAACTTTAGCGGGATGACCATTCTAATTAACCTCTATCTCAGAACTTTTGTCATATTTTAAAATGGTAAAAGGAAGGCTATTTATATTATGAAATGTCCTCTGCTATCCACTTTGGTTGGAAAGAGGTGTGCTGGGGTATCACACAAACTATAAACCTATGTTCCAAGAAATGGTCATTACATTTAGCACAGAGTGATTTTATAGTTCCCTGCCATCTTTCCTGTAGCAGCCATTAAAGGCTGCATAATACAGTGCTGAGGTTATCTAAAAAGAAAGGGAGAAATACTGCTTGAAACAAAGATGGCTGTGTGGAAAGCTCCTCCTATAGTAGTAATCTAGTGGCTTTGATACGGTGAGAAGTAGGAAACAAGACATATATCTTGTTACAGAATCCTGTCAAAGGCTGTTTTCTAGTGTATGTAATTTGTGACTTGGGTTATATGGCTTCAGTGATACATGATACAATATATGCTAAGACCTATGCAAATATTAACTCAGTGCAGCCCAAGAAGATGCATTTCATTTTGGTATGGTTTTTAAAACTGTCAAAAGTTTGGTTGGTTTGAAAAAAAAAAAAAAAGGTGCTTAAACTGTAATCTCCATAAAAATAATTATAGTTAATGAATACAATCACCACCGAGATCCTGGGTACTTAAAGGATGCATTAGGAATCTAATGCTTTAGTTAGAAACAGACATAATTTTATATTGAGGATAATAGTTATGCTTAATACAAAAAAAAGCAACTTGGTAGTGGTGTAATGTAGGCCTCTGAGCTTTCTGTGATTCCACATGAAAGTGTTTACTGATATAGAGAGAGAATAACTTGAATGAAAGTGAGCCACATAAGCTAATGGCCACATGTTAACAAAAAGGTATGCTCCAAAAGGAGCAAAATGAAGTAAGGCTAGGCTTAATGTCATTTGGGGATGTGTCATGGGAGTGGTAAAGTATATTTCAAACTGCTGTACTAAAGAGGACAGAAATTATCGAGGAAGTAATGAAGTGAGATGGAGTCTATTTTGTCAGGCTGCTTAAGAGAGACCGAGAGAAAAAGGGAGACAGAAACTTCACGGAGTACGAGACCTGAATGAGTGAGACCAGCAGGCCTAGCCCAGAATGTCAAGCACAGATATGCCTCAAACCAGAATGCAAAGTTTTCAACTTAAATATTATCTGTCACACACATGTATTGCTGGTCAATGTTT